GAAATTAAGAGTTTGACTTGCTAAATCGTAGTTCTAAACCATACCAAAAGGCACTGTTTGTTCTCCAAAGCACAAAAAATTTTGAGAGGGCACCGAACCCCACACCAAGGGGTGATGGTCGGCTTCGCATCCATGACCTGTCGTTCCCCCCCCCCCAAATAACCCTGGGTCCGCCCCTGCACGTGATGTTAGTTTCCCCAGCTTGATCAGGTGATCAGTTTACCGATGACACATGCAACAATACAAATGCTGTGCTCCAAAGACATCTCCGCCTGATTAACATTACAAACTGGTCGGCCATATAGGGCCTAGACACGTCTAAGTTGATCTTGTTGTGAACAAAACCTACTTGTCTTTGAAAAGTGCACTTATCAGTTTGACTAAAATCGCTGTTGTCGTCTGTGAAACTGATTTAAATGTACTTTGAAGTCATAGGAGCGGTAATTTTTTTCTTTTTTTGCACAATGTCATACGGATTTTGACTGGCTTTTTTCATAATGACAAATACCAGGTTTGCCTGTGCATTCATCCTTTTTCTAATTTATTATTTCTGATTCTCTCATGTTCAAGCGAAACTCAACGTCAACTCTTGTGAAAATGAAAGTGCATGTTAACAGCTTAGACTTCGATTTTCATCGCACACATCTATTGATTATATTACCATATAGCAGGTGCATATTCCTACCTGATGACGTCTAGGCCTACAGGTGTACGTGGTGTAAAACACCGAGCATTTTATCACAGAAAACTAAAACCTTACCGTTTTGAATAACATTCCCAATTCACCTTGTGAATTCCTAAGCATTCCAGGTGACATCCTTGCTTGTGGATACACCCTCTCACAAGCACCTTATCCAATTTTTTTTTATTATTTCTGATTTCTCCATGTTCTTGTGAAAGTGAAACTACATTCATAGAGCTACCATGTTGGTTTTCAGCGTTCTTCTACTGATCATATTACCCTATAGGTGTGATTTCTACCTCATGCCGTCTATACAGGTACATGTTTATCAAACACAGTGCATTTTATCATATAAAACTAAAACCTTGCCGTTTCGTATAACACTCCCAACTCACCTTGTAAACTCCTAAGCACTCTAGATAGGTAACAGTTGCTGTGGAATTGTTATCTCCTAGGCAACTGCTGTGGTGTTTCCAGTCGTCACCATCAATTCATGCACTTAATAGTGTGACCGTTACCTTACACCGCACCCGGCATAACAATGATCAATTGAAATTTAACTGCTAGACTGGTAGATTCCCTTGTCGTAAGAAAAAAAGTCCCGCTGCTTTTTATCGCGTTTACTGTAATGTGTGTTTGAATCCTACGTCACAAAGTAAGTTCATTTTCTATCGAGAATCAATGTGTGGTATTTATTGTGCGCATTTGAGCTCCCCGTTAGAAACAGGCTTTGTTATTACAGGTTATGCTGCACTTATGAGGTCAACTTTCAATATTGCGTCTGTTTATATTTACCTGTACCTGGCAATGTAAACTATTCAAGTGTTAGCGAGTGTGTACACGCGTATGTTTTAAGAAGAAAAGATGTGTACTATTCATTTCAGCACAAAGCCTCTTGTCGTATTGAATTTTAATGGATTTGGCTTTTCATCACCAAGAGTAAGAGTACATAAATGCGCTTTTCTTGGAATTATTGAATAGTCTTAAGTCAATCGTTATTTGAATGACTACTTAAAGCGGATAGCATATACACTGTAGTTGTTTTGAGAAGAGGGGTAGTCATGGTGTCCCTCCTGCTCCATGACTGTCAATATAAAATTTTAACAGTAATCTACGGGGTTGATCCCGGTAAAATATTCCACTTGAAGTTGGTCTGGACATACTAGCATTGACTGTCATCTCTGTCTGAGACGTGATATTTTGATGGTTTATTTAAATATTTTTTTAAACTTTGTAAAGGGTGTGTACGAGACCTCTTATTTGATTACCCTCTTGCTGCCTGTGCATAGGACGGGTTTGTAAAACTGACCCGCATAAAAAACAAAGCCTATCAAAGCTCCCCTATCCTGCTACGCCTAAGCCTGTGCTTTGACGTACGTAATTAATTTTCCGTCTCTGCATGGCGATTTAAAACCCGGGAACACATCATTTTACAAGAAATTATTTTATTTTACAAACTTAAATCTCTCAGTTGGTCTTTTTTCTCGGCGCGTTTTAATGGCAAATTACAATAAATGATCAAGCAACTGCGAAACTGTGCCATCGACGGTATTTTGTTTTTGGAAGGAAAGTGTGCGTAATAAAAATAGGGAGAGCGAGAGAAACATGTTGCATTCAAAAGAAAATTTTATTTCACACAATCACCTGCGCCCGATCAATTCAGCTCTAACAGACAATTTTTGCAAAGAATTCAGAATTGAGAACACTATTTCTAAAACTGAATACAAATGCCCATAAATAGATTATACCATTAAAATTCAGAAATCTATGTACTATGACTAACCTAAATGATACCGCTCCCCACCTGAGTATTTAAATAATGTCATCAGCTGAACACATAAATATGTATTAAATAAATGACCTAAATATGAATTGCTCTGAAAACTGGCAAACGTTATGCGAGGTTAATAGTCTGTGACCTAAGGGTTCCTTATGTTTGAAAATAACACTCCGGGTGGGGACCGGCTAATTAATAAAGAATAGATGCAATTATCTCGAAAAAATTATTAAAAGTCATGTAGTTCTGAAGCAGATCCCATTAGTTTTCCTTTCACTTGTGCATATACTGTTACGTTAAAGTCAAAGGTACAGTGTAGATTGGTTCATCACTTACTTTTTTACTGAAATTTTCAGTAGTGTATTCAGGGGCGGATTTGGGCTGTCTTCTGGGTCTTTCAGAAGACGGTCTGATTTTCATGTTTATATTGACGGGTATCTATTTTTTCTGTCAGAAGACGGTCAAAAATGGAGGATGGATCAACAAAGATAATTTGGAAGACTGGTATTGTAACAAACTCTCTCTCTCTCTCTCACTCACCTTCCTCCCCCCCCTCTCTCTCTCTCTCTCTCTCTCTCTCTCTCTCTCTCTCCTTCCCCCCTCTCTCTCTCTCTCTCTGTGGCCTACAGCCCTGGAGCGTCTGACACCAAAGGACTGTCATAATGGTGACCCTGACTGCATACTATCATACAAACACACAAAGAAACACATTCTAGCTTCACTCGTTATCTTCACCGCACATGTCAAGATAACCTAAAATTGAAATGTCGCTTCTCCACGCTGTGGGTGAGATTTATCAGAGACAAGTAGATGTCTATGTCAACAACCGACAAAGAATGTTTTCATTTAAATAGTTTTTGATCACAGGAGGAGTCTGTTAAATTCTCATCATATTTATCTGGGATCAGAACATTTTATCTGTAGGTAATTTGTCTGTGAGTTCTCTTAAGGTGAACGTCAGATAGCGGCAAGTTAAGTCACAGAGTACGTGTTAAGTCAGGTAAGTAACTGTTTTATTTAGGGGAGTCAAATCATTAAAATTTAATTTACTCCCTGTAAAAGAGTTATTCTTAGTTTCTTACTTTTTTATAAATGTTAAATGGGAGGAAAATAATTTTGTCCAGATTACGTGAGATACGGATTACTTTTGTGTGGGGAATATTTTTGCTCGCTCTTTCTTTCTAATAGAAAATGCCATAAATGAAATACTTCTCCAGATGCTAGAACGTTTGTTCAAACTTGTCGATGAAAACATGCTTTGTAGCCAGCTAAGCTTTGCTTTATTTTCTAATTGTAAGTAAAGAAGAGTGTGGTTTGAGGGTGAAATGATATACTTGAACAAAATTTATTACGAATAGACACATTCTGTCGAAATAAGAATCTGAAATTACTTCAGGATGAAGTGTAATTTGAGACTGGGTTTCCATACATAGATCGATCCAACAGGGTCGATCTATCTCCAAGGGGTTTCTCGCTATATTGATTCCAGCTTAAGCGGCATAGATGGCACGCTTACTAAAGCTGCTAAACTATAATTATAAACCTCCTAGCAGCTTCAGTAGGCGTGACAGACATCTAAGCCGCTTTAGTTGATTACAAATTAGCGAGAATCCCCTTGGAGATAGATCGATCCACAGTTAGTACGATAGGCTCTGTGAATGGTCTCTAAGACATTAAATTATTAAATTAAATTATTGATACATATTAACTAGATTATATGATTAAATAGGTTACATGTATATATTATTAGTCCAGCTAAACGGACATCCCATGGTTAAAACCTGTATATAACAATGGGCTGTGGAGGATCAAAAGTCACCGACGGCACGGACCCACCGTCCGATAGAGGAACCCCTAGGGAACACACTGAAATACAACTGATTAATGAGGACGAATATCAGGTCTTGTTACTGTTTATATTATCTTAAATTGTACTTTTTATATTATATGCGTTTTTGTTTTCAATCGTGTAAAATATATGGCAATTGTTGATCCAATATACAGTTTTAGATGTTTGGCATTCCTTCTGATATAAACTAGTTTTTTACTTATTCAGTACGAGTTTGACGCCAACGATCCAAGCACCTATCCCCCACCTGCGCCGCCGAGGGGTAAGAAGGCAGAGGTGTTCGACCAACAGGAGTTCTCCAGTATTGACGACATGGTCGAACAGGTATAGTGTTACAGTAGCCAATTGCAATTAACTTGATGTATTCTTTGAAATACATATATTTGGGCACCAATAACTATCATAATTTCTCCTCTGGGAAAAGCCTTAATACCAAAATTAAAACTCGTCGTGCTCATGCAAACTATTGCTTATTCTTTTCAATATCACCTTGCACAAATGAATTCAGGTAAGCAGAAGTTTATTTCCACAGTCTAATCTCCTGTAACTCATTTTGAAAGTACTTTATCATTATGCATACATATGCTTGTTGATTTAACAGAGAGACAGATCTCACAACAACTTGATAGGCAAACGCACGGTATCTTTTCTGAACTGTTACTTTCCGTCCGCGAAAAAGTTGTTTTCTCCAAGTATAAGCATTATAATGCATGAAACAATGCAATCTCTGATTCATTACGGAATCTTTTTATTTACCAAATGGCAATATTTTCTCTTCAAAAAATCTATGTGGTCATTTTTTTTTTTTTTTTTTTTTTTTTTTTGACACACCGTGGTAAGACTATTTTTCAGGACTAATAGCAACAATGTTATACACACAACGCTTTGGCAAAAACAGACGATTAGAACTGATTTCCCGACGTTGTGTATAGATCTCTTTACATCAAGGTGTGAGATTAGCCGATTATGAGGTGTACTGTTTTATTCCTAGTGCTTAAAACATATGTTTAAAACATGGTTCATATTGTACGTATTAGATTTAAAGTTCAAATGCAGCTTAAGACGTTTTTGCTACAGGCTCCTGATGATGTACGAAAAAGCTACGAGGCCCTTACGAGCTTCCTGTGTGGATGTGGCCGGCTAGATTACCTGGTTGTTCGAGCCATATTTTTGTGGATTGGATCCCAAGACATGAACACAATCAGCTGGAACGAACCTGAAGGAGATACGCCAATATGGTTCCTTTGTCAGATAAAGAATAGGAAGAGCAGTAAAGTCAAATTCTTTGAAAAACTTTGCAGGTAAATTGATATTATTGGTGATCAATGAAGGCTCTTTCAAAGCAAGTTTTATATCTTAGTTGTATATATTAATAATAAAAATAATGCATGCCAGTTTTTTTTTTTTTTTTCTTTTTTGAGAGGTTCTATACAATGAAATTAAGGCACATATTACTTACATGTCCATGTACTTTCTTTTCAAGTTATCTTCTTGTGATCAGAGTTTCAATTGACCATTTATAAAATATGCCGAGCTCCAATTAGGTGATTGTCAACGTCATAGTCAGGGTATTGTTGTACATCTTCCATATTGAGTAGATGCGATTGCTATAGATATATCTACATGTACGGAACATGTTTTATGTTATTACAGGAAGTGTAATATCCCATGCGTCACAATAAAGGGGTATTCAAAGGGTACAAACTACACAATAGGGGACGACATGGATCCTAATGAAGTATCTGGATCTTGGAATGCCGTTTATGTAAAGGGTGGGAAAGAAAGGCATCGTCATGATTGGAGATTTGTGCACATATTTTGGGGTACCCAAGCAGTAGCTGGATTTGATACCGGAAAATGGACACTGGTGGAAAAAGATGGCGAAAAGACGAACCAAAAGGGTGAACAGTCCCAAGGACAGGATGTGTTTGAAATCGACGACTTCTGGTTCTTTACAGACCCGGAAGTCATGATTTATCGGCATTTACCCGAAGAAGACAGTAGGGCGTGGCAGCTACTGGCATCCCCATTATCGTTCCAACAGTTTGTCGCTCAGCCATACCTTCTTGATTGCTTCTTTAATCTCAATCTATCCATAAAGCGTGGGTCGAAGTGTAGAATAACAACTGAAAAGGGAAAAGCAGAGGCGGTGATTTCGATTCCAAAAGGCAAAAGCAAGAACATAATGTTCCAATATGAACTATTCAGCTGTAGCAGAGGCACGGGGACCTTGGATAGATTCGTGGCACCAGAAATACGCCAAGACACCGACCAATATGTGATTCCCATGAGATTTACAACAGTCGGCGATTTCAAACTTGAAATTTCTGCGGCACAGATTGGGGTATCCCCATTCTTCAGGTGGGCTGCCATTTACAGAATCATATGTCCTGAACCAGTGCCCAAGGAAAACGTTGTTGATAACCAGCCATACCCACTGAAACCGCAGAATGGGTACTTTGGACCGGGGTTCCACGCCAATGACCTTGGTATTTCAGCAGAAACACACAAGAGAGGGGTCGTTGATGCAGATACAGGCGAGATAGAAATCCGGTTTAAATCTAAACCAGAAACAGGTGTTCAAATGGTGCAGCCACGTTTAGTGTCAAACCAGGTTCATTCTGCAGTTCTGCAAGACTTTGTTGAACACAAAAAGGAAGCAAATGAAGATGTGTATACCGTCCGTGTCCCCGAGAAAGGTGAATATGCCTTGGAACTTTTTGCACAACGAGGGAACAGCAACAGAGCGGTGCAAACGAACGTATGCAACTACCTTTTAAGGTGCAACAACGAAAACTTACAGGTTGCCCCTTTCAAGAATGTCTCAAAACATGTGGCTAAGTTGGAGGAAGCGAGTTCCGTAGGAGTTAATCCTATTTCTCAAGGCCATCAGTGGAAATATATCAAAACATCAGACGGCAACTTAACTTTACGATTCAAGAACGAGCATGGAGCAACTCTTAGATGTCGCCTGAGAATGGAAAAAAGCAACACCGAAGAAGGCACCATAATTGACAGTGACATTCTTCGGAGTTATTTGAAGACAACGTCTGAAGGAAAAGAAGACAGTGTTCAGTTGAGGTTGCCGCAGAGTGGTGAGTACATCCTTGAAATAGAGGCCGAGAACCATGGAGAATGGAAAAAGACATTTGAGTATCACATCGAAAGCGCAGGGAACGATAAAGATTCAACCGATGAGCAGGCGTCTATTTTCCCCTTTCATCTAGAAAAGGGTCTTGGTCCAACTCGACATTCGGAAAAAGTGGGCGTTCATTTGCTGTACCCCAAGTCTGGCGAAATCAAAACTTTGGACGAAATAGCTGACATTTGGGTTCAAACAAGTGAGCCCAGCAGTGTAGAATACACGTTTTGTATGCTCACCAATGGCAGCAAAATTACTGACAAGAAGAACAAAGATATGCGGAGTAACTTAGTGGTAGAGAAGAAACCAGACGGCAACTATATTCTGAAGGCAACTCTGCCAGAATGTGGCAAATATGAACTGAATCTATTTGCAAGGCAGGGAGCCTGTAACGTATTGGCTCATGTTGGCAGTGTGAGAATAACCAGAGAAGCCGTTGATAAAGTGAACAAGCCTCTGTCTATATCACATCATTGCATATGTGTACATGACAAGGTGCGTTATCAGATAAAGATGACTAAAATGTTTACTTTTGACGATTTATAGTTATGATAAATGTTCTATGATGAAAGAAGGTCAATAAATTCAGACGTCGGACCAACTAAAGGGGAGTGTTCCCATAAACCGATTGTTCTACTTGGATTGGTCTAACTCTGCCGGGATTCTCGCTAAATTGCTTTCAATGAACGCGGCTTAAGTGTCTGGCACGCCTACTCAAGCTGCTAGGGGTAATTTACGATACCCTTAGCAAATTATCGGGTCTGCTACAAACTGGCAGCAAATTTGCGACAATATTGCAGCAAACTGCTAAATATTCATTTTGCTAAGGGTAGTCGAAGGAGTTACTCTAGTTACTCAAGGAGGCGTGCCAGAAAATGAAGCTGATTACTCTGAAAGCACTTTAGCGAGAAGCCCCAGAGAGTTGGATCATTCCAGCTAGTACTATGGGTTTATGAGAACGCAGTCAAAAGTTATCAATATTGAACAAGCACATTATAATTAATTGCGTAACTTTGCTCACAACATCTGCAATAGTTTTTTTTAATTAGTTGCGTTAGTCAAGATGCTTCATGTCAGTGACAATCGTGTGCTATATCTCACGCCAAATGGAAAGTATAGCTAACATTGCAACTGTAACTTTTGTTTCAGACAAGTGTTCAGCTAGAATTAAAGGCAAAAACAAGCGTTCAAGAAGCACTTCTTAGTACAAGTCGGCCACCGATGCGTATCATGTGTGTAATCGACGCGAGTGGTAGCATGCTTGGAAACTACGGCAACGAGAACATCAGCAAGCTGGATAAAATGAAAACGTTCGCCCAAGTTCTGGTAGATTACATGGATGAAGTGGATTACTTAGGTGTCGTGGTATTTGGCAATGAATCCCATCTGACGTTAGGGTTTACGCGAATGGCCAGTGAAGTCAAGGTAACATATTTGGATATAAAAATATTTGCTTAAAAACTTTCATTTCTTAAAATTGTGACTGAATACAGTGTGCAGTCATTAAAATTGAATAATTCAATTTTTCTGCTCCCTTTTCTCTTGTGTTAAGGAAAAGGTCAAGGAAACTATAAGGAACATACCGCTGAAGGGTCAGACTAACCTAAGCGCCGGTCTTTTTGAGGCAATAGAACAGTACAGAAGACTGCCTTTGAAGTGGTAACATTTAAAACCTATACTTATTTCATCTGTACAATCCACGGAATGCACTTTTGGACAAAAAATCACACTATACATCCTGGTAGAAATGATCAACATCTGATATTAATTATTTAATATTTGACTAAAATTGAGATGAAATACAACAAATCACTGCCTACAAATAACTTGTTTTATATAAAATTTCAGCTTTGATGACAAAATCGTGCTATTCACGGACGGAGGCGCCAACTGCGGGATAACCACATCACAGCAACTGATCCCAGAGCTCAGAAATCGGTTCAGCGCCATGGGAAAGGAATCCGGTCTGAGGGAAGACTACACCATCCAGATTGCTGCGTTCAGCACCGGCGGATTCATGCCCACGCTGATGTACGACCTGGGACAAGCTTTCAGCAGTGAGACCTTCTATTTCATGGATGAAAACACCATACTGGAGCTCAACATGATGAAGACGGTCCTGCTTCAGCAGACTGCGGTGGCCAGACACGTTAAAGTCGTCGCTCAAGCATTGAATGGTGTAGTGTTTGACAGAACAGAGATGCCCCAGTTGGCAGCATCCCCGAGTCTTACCACACGTCAAGTCTCAGAACAGTTCATCCACACCATATCTGCAGAACTATCCAAGCACGTGTTGTATACCCTTCTCCTACCGGACGACCATTCAAAGACTTTGCCTAATAAAGACGTCCTCGAGATCAACGTTTCTTATCAAAGTGAATCCGGCCTCATCAAGGAGAAACTACAAGTACCGTATAAGGAACTTCCACACAGCGTGGAGCAGTCCAAAGAAGCGGCCCTCGTAACATTCACCCAGCAAGAAGCACGGCTTCAGGCAAAGGCGGCCATTCTACAAGCAGCGGATTTTATTTCGTCCTTGCGGTATACAGATTCAAAAGACGCGCTCGAAAAGGGATTGCAATCAATAGAAGACAAAAGAGAGATGATTGCACCGTACATCAGCAGAGCAGGGACACATAAGATCGACAAATACAACGAACCCATGCTTTGGTACATCCAACACAGTCTGTCTATGCTGAAGCAAGATGAAACTGTTCAATCGTTTGCCGATAAATGGGGTAATCTGGTGTCGTATGGGGCGTCTCTGGACAGAGAGGTCCCCACCACGTTAGATTTCATCTCCGAGGAGTATCAGCTTTTCCGACCGACTGGAATAGAAGAAAAGTTGGAAGACATTTCAGAACACATTGATGGTAAATATAATATTCTGCCTCTGTTGTTGGCAAAGTTTCTGCTCGTCTGTCTGCTTATCTTTCTGTCTTCAGACTTGCTTTCTACCTTATGAGACAACGTCAGCTGATGTTTATTTGTACGGTCCAAGTATGGTTTATATGCCTATGGTCCATATACTTATATTATTCCAATTCAGATATGAAATATGGAGAATATAAGGATATTTATAGAAAGTTGAAAAAGGCCATACGCGAGGAAAAACCTGGTCGCAAAAGGAAAATGTTGAAAGAGGCCATCAATGAAGCAGAGGAGAACAACGTTCCAGATAATGGATTGATTAAGGCAGCTAAAGAGGAACTTGAATATTCTGAGTATCACAAAGGTAAGTTGCCGTTCCCACGCCCTGTTTTACCCACAGCAAATATAAAGACAAACAGACAGACAGACAGACAGATAGAAACACTGACAATATAAGAGAGACAGACAAGAGACAGATGGATGAAAAGACCGACAGGCTAGCAAACAGGCACATTAAGAGTTATGACTATCATTCATATTGACGCCAACAACATTAAAAAGCAACATTTTATTTCCTGCATCTATTGACAAATTTAACGATTTTGATCTTCATTTGAATGTTCTGTGCATAGCAATTTTTGCAAAACAGATACGAATATTAATATTAAATTCTTTTTACGATCTCAAATCCAATCCTTCAACAGCCTCAAATGTATTGGAGTTCAATACGCAAATCCGAGAATGAAAACTTAATTTGTATGTTTTCAGCGTTCCGGGATAGTATTAAAGCGAGAGATAAGATTCGTCTCAGGCAGCTACTTCAGGATGTTGTTGATTTACCTGAGCAAATACAAAACCGACTTCGGCCGGACATTGAAGAAGCAGAAGCTCTCGCTGGTGAGAAAAAGAAGAAAAGACGCCACAAGATGCTGGATATGAACTTCCGCCTTATCACTGAGCTACACAAATACCAAAGACCACCTGTTGCCATCCACTACACCATGGCAGCCGCGTATGTGCTCCTTGGGGAAGACTTTGAGGACTTAAGGGTAGGGACAAACTGACAAAGAGCTATCCCTTGTTATCAACTTTAATTCTGTTCACCCTTAGCTAATTAGTATGGCGTACTATGTGGTTTTTGTATTATTTAGACTTCTGTTTTACTTTCTTTGGCTGCAGAAAATATTGACAGATTTAACTGTCACTTTTATGCCTTGGAGCAGTAAAAACGTTTTTATTGTTTAGTCATTTCAAAAACATTGTCCAGCATTTGGAGTTTAAATTTAAATGTTCAGTAGACGTTTTTGCGACTTTTTTTCTTTTTTCAACCAACTGTTAATGATATATTATTTATATTATCAGGATTGGGCGTTTGTCCAGGCGTTGCTAAGAAAGACAGGGCAAAATAGCACGCTGTTTAGGGCAAAGAAGCTCGACATCAACAACGTATCAATAACACAAGCAGAATTCTGTGAGAAGGAAATACTGAATGTTTATGTTGGAACTATAGATGAAGTGAGAGACCAAAGTGCTGGAGCAGCGAGGTTCTTTTATTGGGTAGGTATTTTATCTTTGTAGGAAATCATTATTGGAGGTACAGATTAGGCTTCACAATTTAAAGAGACAGAAAGTACGATTTAAAACTTTTTACTTACATAAGCCACTTCTTATTATAAGAAATAAACTTTTCATTTATCCACAGAAGAATTTTAAAAAACCAACACTAACGCCTGTGTTAAGAAATATTTAAAACTTTCTCACAATACAGAGTTATGACGAGTCACAGGAAGGGGGGTCAAAGGTTGGTTACCCTAGGAAAATAAGTAAAACGTGAATTTTTCGTGTGAATTTTTTCCACTGTGCACTGGATGACACGTAGTAAAACGACTACATGACAACGCACATCTTCTGTTTATCAAATTAATTTGCCTGCACGCCATAAAATCTATTTAATTATTCACCATGTACATTTAAAACAATCTCGGGGGCAAATATGATTTATTTTAAAGTAAAATATTTGGAAACGATCTTTATAATATTTTTATTTTCAGGCAAGAGAGGTGATCCATGACGTCAAAGACTTGAAACAAAAAGAGTGACTTAAGACGACTTCAGAGGAGAACAAAAAGTTTAAATGACCGGATTGGATGTAGAACAATTTGAATGAAACTAAATCAGATAATCTTTTAATGAAGAATTTATTCTAAATTATTTACACCAGTCTTATATCGGCCATTAAGTGCTCTTTTGTAATATATTCATAAGTCTAACGAACATGTTAAATCCAAAAGCTTCTGGATTATGTATAAAAGCTTATAAAGTAAAACCTTCCAAACCCCGATATTTAGACATTTTAATTGTCCTTTTGGCAGGCCCAGTTGTAGGCTGTATTAACGTGTTTAATTACATCTGATGGTCTTTTGATTTGGAATCAATCAATTTGCCAAAGATAGCGTTAACATGAGGATGATGTTTGGCATTTCAAAATATACCACGTTTGTGTCAACGAAGTGCACAACTCTTCATCAGTATTCTATGTACAATGTGACAAACGCAATAAAGTTACTACAAGGCACTGCATTAATAGCCAGTAGAAATCCGCTGAAGGATAATAAATAAGAGAGTGATGTCAACGGAATATTATCCACAAGACCGCAAGCACCACGCAGGCAACCCCTGCATTGATGTTCAGCAGCATCCTGAGTTTCCTAGGCTCATTTAGTTCGTTCTGGCTGGGACCGGAGCCCACAGGTTCCTCGACTGAGTGTTCATTTCTGGGGACTCCACATATCAAATGTAGACAGCGCTGTCTTATACTTTGCTCACTGCTGACGTCTTCCGTGCTGTCTTTGTTAGTGTCGCCACCTATTAGGATTACAATATATTAAATCATGAAACGGTAAAATAACACGCGGATTGGAATGACGACTGTTGACAGGGTGAAACTTTTTAAATGTCGTCTTCCATTACAGTTGGACTGCACGGAATACCAAACAACATATCATATGTCATTAATGAGCTAAAAACATTTAATATGCAGTACCACTTTAAAAGAAATTCCATTAAAAATGGTCTCTTACGCATTGCCTCACCACCAGAACAACTGTTAAATTTCAGCGTCTTGTCGACAAAATAATTCAAGATTAAAAAGTGATTGTCATTATGAAATAATAAAAAAGAATTATATTAACCTGAGATTTTTCCTCTTGTCTTGATTTCGGGTAAAGTTACGTCACCATTATCGTCATCGTCCCTGGCTTCATAGGCAACTGTATCATAGTGCTGGCGGTCTGGTGACGGAACTTGTCTTTTAACTGGCGTTTCTTTTCTTGTCCACCACGTTAGGCCGGCAAGCTTTAAGTTTAAGATTTAGCCCGTAGTCAAGAATCGGTTGGTTACATATTTTGGATTTCAATTTGAAAGAAACATATTTTGCATTAAACAGGTTATTTTGACGTATATGTGCATATACCAATTTTTCAATGCACGTGAAAAAGGCAACATGGCGTACCTTTGCACACATGTAATTGACAATATATAAATATTAGCTAACACCATTCTAACAGCCTAAGTGGTGAAATTCTGGTCCTTTTTTTACATCAGTGTTCAAATAAGATGCACTTAAGCTCTTTCTCAATGCAATAGATATATCTAGATTACCACTTTTTGGTCGACAGGACGTGTCACCAGGCTCACACCCACTGTCACCCCTGTGGTAATAATGATCAGTATTATACCAAAGTATGTATAGTGAACTTTGTATAAGACGGCAGGCCTCGTCTCCTCCTCCCCGCACTGTGGGGCAGGCAGACTGAAATCCATTGCCATCCGTATAATGCCACATAGGTGTCCAACCAGTATTCCACAGAAAGCACCCTAAGAATAGTATATATAAATTGTAAATGATGTAAAACACCGTGTTCAATCAATGTATACATATTTCATGCAAAAGTAACGGTTAATTTCAAAGCGCTTTTAACAATCTGCCAAATAACATTTTAAAATATGTTGAGGACCAACCCATTTCCCTCTGTGAAATTAGAATCTTAATTTACCTTTTCGGTCATCCTCTTCCAAAATATGGCTAAGAGAAACAGCGCGCTGATTGGTGTTCCAAGATATCCCTGCACTGCCTGTATGTAGTTGAAGAGGGTCCCTCCTTGTGAAGACTGGACAAGAGGTATCCACAATATACTAACACCGCACAGGACAACAATGAACACCCTGAGTAGAATTTAGAATAAAAAAACGTTTGGGCAATGGTGTCAGGAAATACGCTTATTCCAGAATAATTATCCAAATTTTTAGAAAAAAATAGATTTAAAATATTTCAGTGTACATCTGTTGGTTCTAATTGTATCTCCGACTCTACAGATCTTTTCTCACCTTCCGACTATCAAAAGTTCTCTCTCATGAGCCATAGGTCGTAAACGCCTCCACAGGTCCATGGTAAAGAGGGCGCTCGCACTATTGAACACCGACGTCAAAGAACTCATTATGGCGGACAGCATTACAGCCAATAGAAGCCCTTTCATACCTTTGAAACCAACATGAAATGATTTTTTAAAGAAGTTTAATTTAGACATAACGAGAGGTAATATAGTAGTCTCACGCAAAAGTGGACAGAGCGAAAAATAGAACCAAACAGAGGTACAAACGAACAGAAAAACAAACAAGCTTTATGTGTTTCCTGTAATGACTGCAGTTTTCTAATTAGTTGTTCACCATAAACACTTTGTATACCGAACTAAAGTAAACTGTTTACAGGCAATGGTCATACTTGTAGTTCTTTAGCATAATTATCAAATCCCAGTACATATAATTATTAGCTTTACGGGAGTGCTCTAACTTACCGGTAGGCAGCAAGGTTAGCACCAGTTTTGGGTAGGCAATGTTGGAGCACCCTATTCGGTTTCCACAGTATCTCATACATTCATCTGGATCTACGCATGCTACTTCGTCTGAAGCAAAAACCTTGAAATGTGTATTGTTAACAGTCCCTGTGTTATATATATATATGAACCACATATACTGGTTTCAACAAACTGAAACAAATTTTAGACCGAACAGGATCACAGAAAGATTTGTTCTCTCTTAACTGGCAGACCCAGAAAATTTCTACAGACCCGAAGTCATTTACATCGAAAAAGCAAGTCATACTTTGTAAACTTACGTCGTATATACCCCAGTACGACAAAAAAGTCGAACCTCGTTTTGAATAGAAAGACTGAACAAGATACAAATTGGTCCTCATATTGGAAAATAATATGCTAGCATTCAGGTACACACGCCCGTTCATATGAAGCAGTAAACCTTTTCAAATAACTTCTTCCGAAACTTGCAAGGAATTGGGTTTCTATACAGTCAGCATCGAGCAGTTTTGAAGCATCGTAAAGAATGAAGAAATCCTCACCAGGGAACAGTGCCCGGGACATCATGCCAGGTATTAAGATGAGGAAAAGAGGCAGTATTTTCAAGTACGAGGACAGTATGGCGCCGCCCTTGGCGTGGGTAATGTTCCTGGCAGCCAACACCCTCTGTACCATAACCTGCACAAATACATGCCGTATTGAGATAGATTATATTATCTTTATAAATCGTAATAAATTATAATCAAAACTACATTAACACGTAGCAACAACAGATAATGATAAAAAAGATAATATTCTCCCTATAAATCGAAATCGAAACTGTGTTCAGATGAGTGTGTAACGTTAGACAGGTCCATGACATAAACTTTTTACCTGATATAATCATACATTAATGTAGGGGAGGGGGTTACAAAATAATTTCCAAAATAATTTCACAGGATATTTAGAAAACTTTTCATTCACTTAAAGCGTTATATGTATGTGTGTGTGTCGGATAAATGTTACTTTTGAGGTACGTACGTGAATTTAAAATGTACATCGAGTTATTTTCCTGCGCCAAGAAACATGCCACACGCGAAACGTTAAACGTACAAAAATCTCTGTTATTTATCAATTCAATTGCTAGACGCTGTGCTGTACTCACACCGTTTAATCCTTATGATAAAGATCTACTTCTAATAGATATATCAAAAGTAAGTATTGAATACAGATCCACTCATTCGCCAACGTACCTGATCTGCGCTAAAATACCACAACACCCCCAGTGTAGACTGTACTATTAATCCGGGCCAAGGATTATCGGATTGCACCGGATCACGGAATAAATGGAACGCGTCGTCCCTAGGTTGACCACAACTGCTGTTTCCGTCTCGCACGGTAGGTGTGGCGTTCATGTAGAGGATTACGAGCTCCTGGTACCCTCCTATGCGGCCAAAACCTGGAACAAACAATACAAGTGCATTTGCTAGTGAAATGACAGACGGCTGGATAACGCTATTTTAAAAGGCTTTGGGGACAAAGTTTATGGTCTTATTTGAATTCATTTGCACTTTGAAAGAAGCGTTTCATAATTATATCTAATTATGGTAGTTTTTTATTGTGTTTTCGTTTTAAAAAATACCATTTTTGTTGGTTCAGGTTAATTTAATATTGCTGCGAAAAAAGGAAATAGAATAATTATTTAAAAACAGCTTATCAAAGGTTATTTATATTAGGACAAACATCCTATAGCCATGTAAACAAGGCCTTGGCCTTTCAGATAATCATTGTACTGACCTAGAACTGTAAGCGACACAGATCCAACCAGCATGATGACTGTCTGCAGTGTATCTGTGTATATCACTGCTGTTAGTCCCCCTAGTACAGTGTACGCACCTGTCACAGTCAGTAACACAGCAATAGACAGATACATGTTCCAACCGAGAGCAAGACCGATGAACAAGGCACCGGCGTATATTGATACCTAGCATAAAAAATATTGAAGCGTCGCATTACAATTATAGACTCTGTGTACAAAAATGCTGCCGTGTTTTATATGAGTTATTCAATAAAAATTATAAGCTACACAAAATGTTTTTAAGGATTCTGTTTGAACACTGGCTCGGCACAAAATCGTAGACTATCTGAAACACCAAAAGGTTTATGCAAACATAATCGTCGCCGGTCTGCTACAATCACTTTACGCTAACCATTTAGTAGACTCAATAAGTATTATTTTTTATATTTTAAGGAAGGGACTAAAATTCACACTTACCGCAATTTTGGTGAAGATGTATAGCACCAGCGCTAAAACACTGAGATATATACGGAGACGCTGGTTGCTGAATCTCTTCTCCATATACTCTGGCATTGTAAATACCTGCAAGACAGAGCACAGCGTCTCAACCTACTCACTATCACACCGAGTTTCAGAGAAAGGACAAGAAAGACGACGGAAAGAACTAGTGATTTAAATCTGTTTCCATGCGGTGCTGAATTTCTGGGTGTGCCTGTAATTTTCGTGCATACTAAATGAAGTCGGCCATAGCTATGTTTGTTTTATACCTTAATTATGGAATTGAAAACCCTGAAGGGGTCCGGGTTATGAGGAATAAAAATATGTGCACAATACCAAACAATGCAAAAAAAATCATTAAAGTGGTTGATCTTCCATGTAGACTTGGCAAAGTTCTCTCTATTTTCAATATAAAGGGGGGTAGTTTGAGACTGTGCTATTTCAAATGAGAATACTTGCCCCCGATGCAACATATATTGGATAAAATATCCACGACAGTATAATGAGATTCGGGATCGCCTGTAAAATTAATAAAAAACATTTACTTTGATAATACACACACGTATTGATTAGTGTTTTAGTGCGACCGAATCTACAATTTAGTTTTACTTGTCTGGGCTTCAAATTTAACAACAACTTACAAAAATCAATTTAATATATTTCAATTGCGCAAAAATACATATCATTAGGTGGATATTTATCTGTATAAAAGTACAGGGTGCCAACTTGCCCACCCTAGGTCCTAGTTGGTCCACCCGACGTCTGATGCTTTTTTTTCAGATTATGAGCCATGCACCTTTAGCTAGATTCTTGGTGCTTGATCTAAAACCGGTTTTGCTGCTCTTACTTATTCTTAGTTGGGTCCACAACCAAGAGCGGTCTAACTCATTCTGAACGGCCTCTAAGATATTCTTACGTTAAGTTCATACATGCTGATAGCTATCCCAGACGCAGCGCCCGCGCCGGCCAGTCCGATGAAATGTTCACTACCAATATTACTGGCAAACAGGCTGGCACCAACCTGGATAGAAAGAATACAATATTTTGTTATATATATTTCAAAGGCATGGGTTAGGCAAGAGGGCCAACTTTAAAACCGTATTTATATGAAAATAGAAGAGAAAGAAATAGGAAAATGGCCTCATTTTAAGCTGGGTTCATAATCTCACTCAGAGGTATTTAGATAAGATACCAGTACCTATAATTACATAAGGAGCTCTACTTATACTCACCGGCCACCATACCATGTCTCTTCCTGCAAGAAAGTATCCCTTCACATTCCCCGTGGACGGCCTGCATATTGACTGAAACAAAAGGATATGATTAGCGATTTTTCCTGTCACTTGCGCATGTGCCTGTTGGTTAGTAAAAGCACGCATTGGTTTATCTCTGATTTCTCTACAGCTCACACAATGAATTGTGTCTCAATACAAATGCTCTCTCTCTTTCTCTCTCTCTCTCTCTCTCTCACACACACACACACACACACACACACACACACTTTCTCACCCATATCCCAACGGCTAACACAAAGACAAAGTATGCAACCACCGCCAAGATGTCACCCCAGTGTGTCAGTCCCATGCCCTCCATCCTGGATGATACATGTACCTACTGTACACAGGGGAGACCGGGGTAAGGTGGCCCAGTTACACATATTTGGATGTGTAGACACAACCGAGAATAAGGGCCCTTTCCCAGTGAAACTATCGTTCAACGTAGATCTATCCAACTCCACGGGGTCTCTGGCTAAATGCAATCATGTATATTTACGTACTTGTATAGTCACACACACGCACGCACACACACACACACACACACACACACACGCACGCACGCACACACACACACACACACACACACACACACACACACACACACACACACACACGTGTTTTTGGAATTTTATCCCTGCCCAACCTCACCAACGCATCCACCTATGATCTTAATTTTCCTTAGACAATTTCATTTGATTACATTTGGTTATGAGAATATTTTCCATAAAATGAAAATAACAATATAAGTTAAGAAGAATTAACAAAGGATCCTATGTAATCTTCATACACGCTGATTGCCTCAGTTTGTTTCAAAGGAGTACTTGTAGCACGTGGTTAACTTACGTCAAAATTGTATCCAAACCTGACTTAACTACGTTAATTTGTATCTGGCTTTGATAGCATGATATGGGTTTATCATTTTAACTGTTGAGTTCAATGTTTATATTCCGTATACGGATCATACTGGTAGAGATAATCACCTGATTCTTGTATCTCCTCATTCTTCACGCACGTGTGGTGAATTTGTCAGTGGGTGTCAAGGGGATTGGCGTTTTAAGGTAATTTTTATATTATCTATATTAATTTATGGCATTTTTAACTACAGTAACATTATCTGAACCAGTCTGTGGGAGCGTCTTCATTTAATCGTTCTTAAAAGATAACAGACATAACGTATATGACCATCTGTGTCAATCGCAATAAACAGTGCGCTTCAAGGACGCGATCGAGACCTTACCGGAACGCTGACTGAAAGCAATGAACAGTCTGGGGCCCCGTCACCAAATTGCCATTGCACATTCGTTCGTTGGGGGGGGGGGGGGGCTGGGTCTGAGAGCGGTGGGAGGGGGCTGACATGATGTGATAGATCTTTATGACGGACAAAAGGCCGTATCTTTACATTCATCGGTAGATCGGCACGAGTCTTATTGAATGCCAGACCTTTTTCGTGGATATTTTAATACCAACTGCAACACGCACAGAAATACTAGTAGTCCATTACCCTCACTCAGGGTGATTACCCTCTACCAAGGCGAGAAATTGATTTTTCACAAGATATTCACAGATATGTCTTTCATTTGATTCACTGTTGGCTTTTTGAAAATTTGCCTGTAATACATGTACATGTATCTGCCACCATGGTAGAGGGTAGTAGTCCATAATGTCGACAACTTTTAACTAAACTTAAAGTTGGAAATTGTCTACAAAAGACTTCTTGTACAAAATGTACCCTGAACCGGTAGCTAAATATAATATACATGTACATTGCATGCAAAATAAAATAACTTTAGCGCAACTACAAGAGGTTTCCAAAAATAAAACATAACTCATAATTTTTCTGAGTACCTTTATTGAGTAGGATACCAGTAGGACAAATATGATTAACAATCAAATATCAAAAATATTTCTCAAAAGTGTAACATTAACAAGTGAAAATACATCTTCAGCATAAAATCAAAAATGAGGTTGCGTATAGAAATGTCAGCAAATGCGTAGAAAAGGGGACTTCCAAAAGATGTCCATCCTGACACAATAAACATAAACGCCAATCTAATTTAAAATAGTTCCTTTTCAATGCAGTTATCATCCTAAAATATTAAAGCTCTCAAGCAGTCCAGAGCCTAGACATAACCCTAAGGTGATGTTAGTTTTGTTTTAACACATTAAAATAACTCTAAATTACATGTACTGTATTTGTCAAAATAAATATCACCTCTACAAGGTACAGAAAACCTGAATATACTTATAGCTTGTTCAATATAACTTCAAGTAGTTCGCATGATTTGCCCAATTTAACTATTCTCAGTCCCCATATTAGAATTATACAAGTGCATAACTGAAAATAAGTCACAGTGCACGCTATGCTTCTTTATAACAAATAAACTGCGTCAAATTAGATTCAATTTTGGGATGCATGATCAGAATGTTTTTCATTTACTCTGTTGATTCTTTGAATGAAATTTCTTAAAATTAAAATCACAAGAATTACTTGAAATAATTACATGGTACAGTAAGCTGCATAATATATGTGAACCAGGGAGCCAGTATACCCCAATCAATTTAGTCTACAATTTAGTCATGAAAAGGAAAAAGTTACGGCTGATTACTGAATTAATGAGAACTGGTCTCCTGTGATTTGTAAAATTTAAGATACTAAATATGTACTAGTAGGTATTTAACATCATATGCTTCTAGTCATCAAATTTACATGCACATATACCCCTATACTGTAGTAATCAATGCATTATTGAAAGAACTTCTGAATTATTAAAATGATATTATTGCCATGGATCCCTTCATAAAAACATGTTTAAAAACAAGACTACTTCTTTTTCTTCCCTTTCTTTTTTCCTTTCTTCTTTCCTTTCCCTCCTTTCTTCCCTTTCTTGCCTTTTTTGCCATCTTTCTTTTTCTTCACCTTCTCGGCTGGTATTGAGAAGTCGGGAATGATGGGCACCTCACTGTATTCTTCAATCTCTGGCATGACTCCACCGATGGCGTCTTGAAGGATCTCCATTGTTTCTGTGTCATATTTAGCAAAGGCCATCGGTGAAAGACCATCTTTGTTCTTGGCATGTATGTTCACACCTGACAGTATCAGAAGCTTTACCACCTCAACTTTCCCACCTGCAAATAGTATTAGAACCACTTTGATGAAAACAAAATACTTGGTGAGTGAGATAGATGCAGAAAAATTTTCCTTCCTTTCTGATCATATGGCAATATGTTATTTCCCTAGTTGTATGGACTTTAAAACCCCTTTAAAATGAATTGCCAGCTTTATCATTGCCACTAACACTGCTAAGACAGTTCACTGATATCATATATTTTGCAAACTCAAGCTTTTTAGATATCGTAAATGAGACAATTTGTTCAGTACATTTACATTTACATAGTTCTAGTAACATTATAATACCATTGCCCCACATAATATCAAAACAAAGAGAAAACATCACTAGTACGTGCTGAGGTACTAGTACATTTGTATATACCCCACTCCTGAAAATGTATTTTGAACATTTTATAAACATTTTATTCAAGAACCCATCAACTTTCTGAACTTTTATTGTACACATAAAACAACAGGAAAAATTACTCAAAAGATGAAAAATACCCATTTAAGCTTATTTCCCAATTCACCTATACTGGGTATATGTATATGTATATGTACACTTCCTTACCTGCCGCAGCAAAATGCAGCGGTGTGACTTGGGCCCCATCTATAATATTGACATCAGCTCCAGCTTCTATCAGCAATTTGGCAACTTCAAAGTGACCACCTTCAAATAAATAAAGAACAAAACAATAAACAAATTATAATGATCAAAATGCAATGCTCTCAGACTTTACTTTGCTCCATATATATATTTATTACATGCTAGGAGCCGCCCCATCAATCGAAATTGCAGTAGTAGTAATAATAATAATAATAATAATAATAATTATTATTATTATTATTATTATTATTATTATTATAAAGCCCTGATAAAGCAGTATCTTGGTACACCTAATAAAATCCAAGGGGACGTCAAATCTGGTTCCCTTTAATTTGCATTAAATACAATATTTGTCTTCTTCTAGTGCTGCATCTCATTTATGTATATCAGGTCTCCCTTTGGATCATTTCAGTATACTGCCCACGTCAAGTATAGAGTAGAAATACTGAAGGCTTCAGGTTGAGCGAAAACACTTTCATGTCGGGGGGGGGGGGGGTACGCACGCGTACACTGTTCTCCTACCTTTGGCCGCGTGAGACAGAGCACTGCATCCGACTTCGTCGCGTGCGTTTACATCGGGGAAATTCCTGAGGAGTTTTCTTGTGGTTCCTATATCCCCTTTCTTTGCAGCCTCCAGAAGTCTGAACTCCATGAGACAGTTAAGCCCCAAGGACGGAAACCCGCGTATATTTGTCTCACGTCATTCTAAACCTTCATGTTGCCAAGATGGTGTTTGGGTTGGTTGCATCTAAATTATGGCCCATGGAATGAAAAACGTGTAAAAAAATAATATTTAAACTAAATATTATCATACTTCATATTTTTATAGATTTTAAACATTTAAAAACCAATTATGTTTTAAACAAGTGTTGAAAATAGCATTTTGGGCTTATCCTACTGAACAAATGCAGACTTGGGAATGCCTTGTTTCATACACATCCTTGTAAGTTTCTACCTCCTAATGCAGAAGAAGGAGCGGTGATGACCTCTCCGATTACAAAACTAAGCACAGATATTTCTGTGGCACGTTGATGCAGCACCTTTTAAGAACATGGACAGTGGCAAAATCGATCTTACCTCTTATTCCGCACAAACCAAAAAAGAGTGAGTAAAATGAGAGGTAGTATCTGAACCGCCCCTCAGCAATTGGGAAAATATTGTAGCACCTGTTTGGCAAGAGGCCACCCTTTTGGGTTACTCACACAATATTGGCCCTACTTGATTGCTATCTCCACCTGGCTAGTTAGAAAGCCAGTTAAGTTTGGACTGAATGTGTGAGGGGAGGCAACTGCTTTGTCACTTAAGTGGAAGTCAATTTAATTTAGACTTACCCACTTTGATCTTAAAAACTGAGCCAGTACATGTACCTTTTAAAACTGTTTGCTTAATCTTTAAGACCACGTCAGTTCAGTTCTGATCTGAAATTGCAGCTTAAAACCATTTCAGACTCACTAGTGACTGTGATTCATGTGAAGAAGTTTTTGTCATAGATAAAACTAAATGTTATTTCATTCTTCAGTTTTTAGGTTCAGCTCTAGGAGCAGTTACAGTAGCATGTCTGGGAGTGGAAAGAAGCGTCTGTTTGTGATCGACACAGATGCTGGCCTCGATGATGCCCAGGCCATCATGATGGCTCTAGCTCAGCCAGACATCAACATTATCGGTGAGCAAGTCCTACAATAGCAGGCCTACTAGTATAGCCAGGAATTTAAAAAGAGGGATTCATTTTCTAAAAACAAGTGGACCTTTTTATCCTATTTGTCCCTTTTGTCAGCCAACTTGGGGAAATGATACAGAAGGTACTACACGTAGTAAAACAAAATTCAATCCAGAGTGGACCTTGAGTGACCCAAAGGGCAGTTATTTCTAACACACTGAATTCCCCTTGCCTAGATGTACCTCTGTAAGGAATCATTTTATAATTTTTACAATAATTAAGCTGTTGATTGTGACATGTTTTAAACTTTTTCCGAAAGAAAAAGCCACAATATTTGAATCTTCAGAGTTTATAATGTAATATAATGTTGTTTTTTTT